CGAGCATTCGAGGGTGGCACTCCATCGCCACCATGAAGAACCCAGTTTTAAACAAAGGGGAGAATCAAATTCATTCTCCTCTCTTTTGTAATCGAAATCCAATTGTAATCGATTTTGAGAGAATACAGATTAATTTTTCTTTCATTTCTTTTACATCGAATTTTTCCACCAAACAGATTGGTTGGTGGGTGGGGGTTTTGATCGTGGTTGAGGATGTGGAGGTGGTTGAGGGGGAGGGGTAGGGCGAGGGGGAGTGTTGTTGGTTGGTGGGTGGGGTTGGGGGATTTGTGGTGGTGTTGTTGTTGTTGTTGTGTTTTGTTGTGTTGTGTTGTGGTGTGATGTGTGGTGATGTGTTGTGCAGTGTAGTGTTGTGTTGTGTTGTGTAGTGTTGTGTGTTGTTGTGTTGTGGTGTTGTGTTGTTGTGTTGTATTACGTTGTGTTGTTGTTGTGTTGTGTTGTTGTGTTGTGGTATTGTGTTGTTGTGTTGTGGTGTTGTGTTGTATTGTATTGTGGTGTTGTGTTATGGTGTTGGGGGAATTATATTTATATTTACACTCTTATTAACGGTTACACACCCTTGTTAACGTTTGATTTATATTTGCAGGCCGGGACTTCTTCACAAGGTGCAGCCGGGGTAGTCATAATGCAGCTGGTGTTGAGGATGAGGTTGATGATGATCAGGAGGATTGATTGTCCTTAATATAACTTTGAAAATAATTTCATGTGTTGTATAAATAATATTTATTATGTACCCGTCGAGAAACTTTTATTTGCTTTTATTGAAATACATGTGTGATATATGCGTGAAATTAAATATTATACTGCTGATTGAACAGGTTTTTTAAAATTATTATCGATATTGTACAGGGGTTTTTCAATTTTAAAATTTTTTTAAAAATTATTCTTTTTAGCGACGGAATTTCCGTTGCTAAATAACTATTTAGCAACGGAAATTCCGTTGCTAAATAACTATTTAGCAACGGAAATTCCGTAGCTAAAAGTCTTTTTAGCGACGGAAAACGTGCACGTAAACGTGCACGTTTGGTAACAATGGAACTTATTAGCGACGGACATTCCGTCGCTAAAACTTTATTAGCGACGGAAATTCCGTCGCTAATATTTTTTTAGTTTTTTTTATTTTTTTTAATAGCGACCAAATTGTTGTCGCTAATATACCGTCGCTAAAAATTAGCGACGGAATTTCCGTCGTTAATACCATTTTTAGGGACCCCTAATGTAGCGTCGAACTTTTAGCAACGAAATTTTGTTTTTTCCGTCACTAAAAGTTTTAGCGACGGAAAATCAACATTTAGCGACGGAAATGTCCGTCGCTAAAAGGTTAAAATCCAGCAGTGATAGAGGATTTTATGTATTGTTGCCCTGTAGACGTAGGTCGAAGTTGGTCGATTGAACCACGTAAATATCGGTGTTGTTTCTTCTTAAGTGATTTTATCGTCTAAGGACGCCTTAGATAATCAACTAAGGACGCGGTCTAAAGTAAATCACATGATTGAGCTACATGATTAGGTTGCATATCTCTATCTCTCTCTCTCTGTCACTAAGAGTAGGATTTGATCTTGTGGGTCTGTTTGTTATTTGAAAAGGCCCCATCTTAAATAATTGTCTTTCCTTCAGTACGTAAATTAATTTGATTTTGTTATTTATAAAAGATCTTTTGTCCCAAATATCTCAAATCTGAAGAAATATATACAACTTGAGTCTTAGAAAAATATTTCCGCCCTCCTCGATCTACTTACATGCATGAAGCATGAATCACTATTAGCATGAAAAAGTTAAAGAATTATTACGCTTCCACTTTGCATAGCCTCTTAGTTTATAGTCTCAACTGTAGTAGTTGATGTCCACTTGAAATGACCCTCTTACGTGCAAAGCCGACCTTTTCTCGTCAAAAGGCCTCATCCTTCACACAAGGTGCCAAGGAGTGATGGGGATTGTCAGATACTTTTCTCAAAGCTCATCTGGATCACAATATATATATAAAATGCCTTTTTCAAGAGAGAAATGACCAACACTTACTAGTGCAAAGCATTTCCATTAACTCTAAAAGACATCCTTTAATGTTCATCGATCTTTTTTCCGTGCTTTCTTACTTCCTTAATTGTTAATTATAAGTCGCACTACGCGGTTGTTTGTTAGCTGCAATTACAGGGGAATGCGAGTGTTCGGTTACATGTGATTGCAGATGCTATAATAACTATTGCACGAACTCGTAGTTGTAGTTGCTCGGCTCAGTCTTTATTCTTTTAAATATGTAACTATAGTTATAGCCACATTTGCTTGTCGACCATATTATGTTTTCTGACTTCTATTAGGCTTTGATAGCAATTGAGTCGCAACTTGAACTCAACTTAATTACACTTCTAAAAGATTGTATGTATAGTTGCTACCTTCTGTCCAAATGTTCATAAGCCAGTGATTGTACTTGGGAGTCTTTTTACAACTACAAGTTTAACCGTATTTATTATAGGCCGAAATCTATAATTATCTTATATACGTAGAAGTAGAAAACAAGACGAGTTGCCCTGTTCATTTCATTAGATTGCCGAAGAAGTTACAATAGATAGAAACAAAAGATTAGGGAGAGGAAATTGTCGTCACCTAATACACAGTGCCAAACGCCGGAGAAGCTTAAACTTATAACCCAAAAAAAAACTAATAAAAGACCAATAGTTCATGGGCTAGAACACCCAGCATTAACCATATATAATTACATCAACAAAATGTGCTTTTGTACCAGCATAAAAATATCTATAAAACAAAGTTCACACAAGCTCTGCCTGATGCCATGGTGCACGGAGGAAGTTTTCGCTAACTGCATCCTCTACAATTCTGCAAATATTCTCAGCATTTTTGTTGTTTGAGTTCCCTACCTAGAATAAGATAAAAGTGCACCACATTAGAAGCTACCTTATTTGGTTGAGATTGAGCTTCATTGAAAATAAGGTTGTTATGACTACTCTATATGCACCAACAAAAGGTAGCTAGAAATTAAAATAATACTTTTAATGGAGTTTTGAGTCTGCCATTAGGTAGGAAGCTTCCATTTGATGCGAGTAGGGTATCAAAGTCATTTGGTCATTGTACAAAAGGGAAGTAGAGGAGAAAGAGAGACCATACTACTTTGGTGAATGACCAAGAAAAGAAAATATGATTCTCTAATTTAGGCTCCAGATTACAAAAGGAGCATTTTATATATGTTACCTGTCCATCCCCTATTCGACAAATTTTCTATAGTTCGGAGTCACCTTTTGGTGAGAATTCAAAAAAATATTTTAACCTTATTGGGAATTGTAGAATTCCAAATGAAAGAGTACGAATTAGAGTAGCATCCTCCACAGTTGATCAAGGAATAATAAGATTTAGTTGTAAAAATTCCCAAGATGAGAAGGGGCCACAATAATTTATCTTGATTGTTGTTTTTAGATCTATTGCAAGAGTTAAGGAGGAGATACAAAGCATTGATCTCTTTCTTCTCAACCAGGGACGATCCTCTTCTAAGCAGAGGGTACCACATCCAAGTTTATTATGATAATAACCTTGTGAACAAACATTTGCATTAGCTGAGAAAGCCAGATAATAAGCTTTAGGGAATAGGCTGTTCAAGGAGTTATGACCAGACCACTTAAGCGAATAATGGCCCCTTCACCTAACTTCCACTGCACTAGACTGATAAAAGTATGGTGAATAAAATGCAAATCATGAAATAACTTAGAGGTTGGTCCCTTAGAAGGTGTGCAGAGAGGTTGTATTGATGTCTAGAATAGAGAGAATTGAAGACGCAACCAATAATGGAGTTGTGATCAATATTTTTTCATAACCATTTGGAGAGAAGAGCTTGGTTGAAGACAAGGAGATTAAGGACACCAAGCCCCCCTTCCTTCTTACATTTGCAAACATGTTCCTGTCTAACTAAGCATTTTGATCTGGAGTTTTGCTAATTACTACCCCATAAGAATTTTTTTCTAATCCTATCAATTGCCATAGTGAGCCAAATTGCTAATTTAAAAAAATGACATATAGTATAGTGGGAGAGTGGATAGAACAGAGTTGAGGAGAGTTAGTCTGCCACAAATATATAGAGCTTTACTTTTGTACATGGATAGCTTCTTAGTAAAGGTTTCTAACGAAGGCTCATAGTTTCGTCTAGAGAGGGAGCCTTTCTTGAGGGTGAGGCCAAGGTAACAAAAAGGGAGAGCACCAGGAGAGCAATTGAGGATACTGGCAAGATAATTCCCCTTGAGAGGGATTTTCCCAAGGTAGAAGAGATTAGTTTTAGCATAGTTTACACTTAGACCAGAGATGTTTTCAAAGATGTAGAAGATGGTTTTGAGGATTGAGATCATGTCTATTGGGTCTATTAAAAATAAGGGTGTCATCTGCAAACTGTAAAAATCTAATGTGATTAAGATCTCCTTTTAGGTTAAGATTAGAAAGGAACCCTAAAGAAACACTATTAGCATTTTGTTGAGGACATTAGCAGCAAGCAAGAACAACATAGAGGAGGGTGGGTCCCCTTGTTTCAGGTCACAATAACAGTTATAAGAATTGGTCGGTGTGCCATTAACTAAGATAGAGGATTTTGAGGAGGAGAGGAATGTCTCGGTCTAGTGACACCATTATGGGCCGAAACCCCTAGCTGTGAGGGAAAGGAAGAAAGTCCGAATTAACATAATCAAAAGCTTTCATAAAGTTTATCTTGATGACATAGATTTTTTTCTTTGCCAGAGGAATAGTGATGAATCAGCTCATGAGCTAGAAGAATGGATTCTAAGATAGACTTACCCCCTTGAAAAGAAAGTTAAGTCTAATTATGTGTGAATGAGATTTGAATCTAAATTGTCCTAATACTATTTTAAAGATTCTTTCACTATTCATACTCCAAACGTGTGAAGGGAATGTACACCACTCTTAAATATGACAAGTCTTTTTCTCTCTCTAAACTCTTTTCTCTCCTGACTTATATATCACTCCCCTCTATAAAAGAACGAAGAGAAAGAAGGAACCATACCTTTCATCTAGCTCTTCAAGGAATTTGGCAGAGAGAAGATGTCTGCTGACTGGGGTCCGGTGATCACGGCGGTGGTCCTCTTCATCCTCCTCTCGCCGGGCCTCCTCTTTCAGCTGCCGGCGAAGACAAGAATAGTGGAGTTCGGGAACATGAGCACAAGTGGTATCTCTGTTTTAGTTCACGGCATCATCTTCTTTGCTATATACACCATCTTAGTAGTTGCCATTGGTGTACATGTGTATGCTGGATGATTAAGAGATGGTGTTTGTGTTTTTCAAGCTTTAAGGTTTTTAATGAAGAATTTATGTGTTAATTGGTTTCATTAATCTTGTTAGATTGGGTAGAGATATTTTCAGGGTATAGTTAGGTTTTAAAGTAATTCTAGGGATTTTAAATTAGTATTTGAATTTTTTTTAATTCTCACAGGATGCACATTAAAAAGATATTATGTAATAGCGTTAATTGTTGATACATCCACATATTGCCTCTTAACTATTTCTTTAAGAAAGTTTGGCCCCTTGATTCAAAACGGGAGTTATCTTCCTTATAAACTGTGTAAGACACTTGAGAAAAATATGCTGTAGAAAGATCTAATGATGTTTTAGTTTGCTGTTGAGAGATTCTTTAATCTTTTTATAGGTGTTAAACATACATGCAGACAATTATATCTGGACATTAGGTGGTCTAAGAGCTAAGAAATTAATAATTGACTAACTCCCTTATACCTGCAATTAACCCTATTAAAAATGGTTTTGTGTAAAATCTACGTTGAAGATTTTTGTAGTTAACATCCGATGTTGTTGATGTTTAAATAATCAAACAGTCAAATATATGGTGGGGTGAGGCTGATTAGGGGCCGCTCACTTCTCTGAATATCTGGTTTTGAGTTGAATAAGTTTAGCCTACACAAATAGTAATTCATGAGAGGACGGGGACTACTTCCCCCATTGTACCTCTAGCGATCAAGTCAAATGATGAACTTGAGTGGGAAAATAGCCTCTCTCCGTTGCTAAGCAGAAAAAATCCCCTTTATGTTGAGAATAATACATCTATTTATAGTAGTAGAAAAAGGGTAGAATGGTCACTTTGGCCGAGCACAGGATAGCGGCAAATAAATATGGCTTGGCAGTGCATCAACACCTACTTTACAGGTTTAAGTCGGCGACTGGTGGAGAGATCACCTCAACATTTAATATGAAGTGATTTGAGGCATGGCGGTGCTGACGTGGTTTGATGAGTCATGAAGACTATCGGGGCTAGAAGTATAATGGTGTCTGCCAAGCTTTAAATGTGATGCTGATGTGATGTCAACGGGAGAGGCTCGAGGTTGAAGTCATCCTTTGGCTTGGCCGAAAAGAAACGCCTTTCGAGTCGACCGTGTGAGGCGTCGAATAACTGGTCGAATTGGCTCGTAGCAATTCGTCTTCAACAAGAGGGCTGACAAGTACTATCATTCAAGTCAATCTAAGGAGATATTGACTCAACGGGTCGGCGAAGTAAAGGTCTTTGGTTGCCTTAACCGTCAATTTAGTTTAAGCGGTGCATGTACGGGAAAACTATCCATTGTTGGCAAAGGGTTGTACTTTGGCGACTAAGAACACTATAACAGTTGGCCTATTTCACTTGGAGTCAGTTTGGACCAGGTCCGAGTGAAATGAGAGTATCTTTGAACGAATGTGGGTGTACATTAAATGAGGGAACTAAAAAGTTTTTCAGATTTTACGTGGTTGACGTCACCAGACATTCTTTTTGACTGACATAGCTCCACTTTTCGTGGTTGATTGCAGGCTATTCGAGATGAGTAGGCTGCGCCTCGATCCTTGATGTGTCACTTTAGATTCTGAGAATTAATCTTGGCCGTTGGCTAAAGCTTGATCCGACCGTTCAAATTATGGCAGTTCTAGATTCAGCTGCCTATATATAGAGCTAGGGCCATGGAGATATTGGTTATTGTCTTTCCAAATTCCTTTCTAGAGAACTCGAAATCTTATAAACATCGCTGACGGGAATCTCCCGTCAGCGAAGTTGCCGTCAGCGATGCTGGATTTTCCCCTAGTGTCTAGATTCAGCTGCCTATTAATAGAGCTAGGGCCATGGAGATATTGGTTATTGTCTTTCCAAATTCCTTTCTAGAGAACTCGAAATCTTTCCCACTCATATCTTTCCGGTGATTATTCCTCCATTCTACAATGGCACCAGATCCTGTATATCGACGAGCTTTTCTGGTGAAGTTCCACTCCATGGTGACCCATGCATAGAAGAGCATGCCTCATGGGAGGTTTGATATCCCCTGAGAGTATGAACTGATGGCCCCGACAAGATAGGAGACTGTTTATGATCATGGGCCAGATCGAGCCCCGTTCTACTTGAAGCATTTGGAATTTGGCCTGCAGCTACCCCTGCACCCTTTTCTCCATCAAGTTTTTACGGTGCAAGGGGTATCGTCGGTTGAGATAAAGCTGAACGCCAATGTGACCTTTGTAGGGTTCGTGATGATTTGCTATTGGTTGGCAATAAAGTTATCCCTGCGAGTCTTGGGCCATTTGGTGACTGTGAAAGTGAACCAGACTGAACCCCACTTCCATTTCTAAATGGTGGGGAAGTACAAGCTCATCACCGGCCTTCCTAACTTGAATAAGGATTGGAAGAAATATTCGTCTGGGTCGTGGGGGACGACTTGGGGTTAGGCTGCCCAAACTAGCTCGAGATAAGGAGGGAAGCGCTCATAGAGGGTGACTTGCTCGATGCCGAGAGGGATGCGCCGAATCAGATCAATGTGTATGTTGGCTCTCATCGAGTAGAGCATTTGGACGAGTCGAGCGGTGGACGAGAGGGTCGAGACCGACATCATCCATCTGGACAAGTCGAGCCCCAGAAGAGCAGGTCGTGGCTTACTGGGAAGAGAGTGGCGCCGAGGCTAGAGCTTCTGTTGAGGAGGACGGCTAATCCGTCCGTCACAGCGAATCATCCCGCTTGGGGAAAGAGCTGGTTGTAGAGGAGACGACGCCTCCCGCAGGGCTAGAGTAACCCTATCCTCACCATGTTGCTAAAATTGGGGAGAAAGAATAGGAAAGGATGAGGTAGTATCTCATTGGGACTTTAGGGGCTGGTTCTTGATAGGGACAGGAGCACGACCCAGAGCACCGTTACCAGGATGCTCACCATCTAGATGTCAGGAGGACAGTCCTTGGTTCTCGCCTAACTCAGTCGAGGGTGGTCAAGCAGTTCTGGATTCCTCGAGATGAGGAATTCTTGCAGGGGGTTCCCAATGCTGGTCTCCACCTAAGTCTTTGGAGCTACTTGGTTTGAGGTGCTTTGGTCGAGCAAGAGATATACGATTGGATGGAGCAGATCCGAACTTTGTATCTCAAGCTTTTAGAGGAGGTGGCTTCCCTGAGGGCTTGCAATGAGGTTGACTCGGAATGGGCTGCGGAGACGCTAGCCCCGAGAGATTTCGAGGTTGACAGGCTCAGGTGAGAGCTAGATGAGAACAATAGGAAGACCAGGAGACTGGATGAGGCTCTCTAGGAGAAGGACCGTACTATAGTGCAGGTTGAGGCTGAGAAGTAGGCGGCTTTGCATGTGAAACGTCAGATGTACAAGGAGCATGCAGCGCTCGTCAAACTTCAGGGCGAGATTGTCTACCTACAGGAGCCCTCGACAGTAGCACAAACTGCAATGCCTACCTTGAGTCCGAGCCTTACCGCCAGGAGATTATAGAGGTGTATCGCCAGGGCCTAACTAGAAAAACAAAGGTGGTGATAGCCTACAAGGCCGGGTATGACTACCTCTCGGTGCAGCTTTCAATTAAGATGAGGAATCTACCCGATCGCTTCCACTATCCTCCTATTATAGACAAGTGTTTGGATGAGTTGGTGGAGGTGAAAGCACTTGGGGGGGAGGGACTCGATCTTGGCAAGGAAGTGGGAGAGTTGGACGAAGGAGGTGACTGCTCGACTCCTCCGCCGGCTGCTCCCAACGGCTCCTTGCCTTTGACTCTGGGTGCAGGAATGGACCTCTCTTAGTCTCCTAGGAATTTCCTATCTTTCACTCTTGTGTTGTATATATGTACATATGTACATATGTACCTTGTAGATACTCCTTATAAATGAATAAAGAGAGATTTTTGAGTTAGAATTACTTTTCTTGTGCTGTACAATCTCAATTTGTATCTTTTAGATGAATTAGCTCCATTATGGGCATGTGAACTTGATTGCTGACTCGAGAGGACTCGTCCTTCATTGAGAAGGCATGTCTTGAACTCGATCAGTTGTTTCTATTGTATTGAGTCTTAATTTGAAGCCAGTCAAGTCGATGAGCTTTTCTAATTATCATCTGAACTCCTTGGGGCGAGTGCCTGAGTTTTCATTTTAAGTCTATTGTCGGTTTTGAAGGGTCGATTAGATTTGGCAGACTGTTCATTAATTAGACATTGTTTGATGAGTTTCCAGAAGCATTTATTGGGTATGTGAAATGTTACTGTTTGAAAATTAATTAGACATTGTTTGATGAGTTTCCAGAAGCATTTATTGGGTATGTGAAATGTTACTGTTTGAAACGACATGATGACTTTATCAGAGTCAGAGAGTTGTCACTTTGATTTTTAAGCGAAGAGACATAGAGTAAAGAGGGTCGGAACTTTGAGTTTCGTGTGAACCGTTTAGGATTTCGATGTGTATCTCATCCGTTCATTTTGGAATGAGCTAGCCGTCTAGATTATTCCACGTGTCCCTCTCGGATCCTATATATATCCCACTGGGAGAGAAGAGGGGTTTTCTTCACAAACTCTCACTCTAAATTTCCAGCGCTTATCTCTTAGATTTCCTAAATCTTGTTAACCATTTTCAATAGCTGTCAGAGATCCACCGCTGACCGCAATGAAGAGAAAATCACTCTTCACTGGCTAATCTGCTCAAAGATATGTATCTAGAAGCGTGATAGGTACTTTGATTTCTATGATCTCCCCAAGGCTTTTATGCTCATAGCGCCAAGTGAGGATGAGCCAGTGTACCGCGATGTACTAGTGGAAAATCATGTATCGCTGACGGGCTTTCCCGTCAGCGATGCCCAAAATCCCGTCGGTAATATGTATTCTTGACGGAAACCCGTCAAGGATATGCCGTCAGCGATAGTCCCGTCAGGGAAAAACTATCGCTGACGGGGAGCCGTCAGTAATATATATTACTGACGGCCAAAGTAGTGACGGCAACGCCCGTCAGTGTTAATGAAACATCGCTGACGGGCATCCCGTCAGCGATGTTTCTCTATCGCTGACGGGTACCCCGTCAGTGACAGGTGTTACTGACGACAGATAGTCGTCGG